TGTTTACTTTGCGACTTTGGATATGCTCAGGACTCAATAAATAATTTTGACAGATTCAAGAAAAAAATGTCATCTTTCATAGTTTTTAAGGTATATGGCAAGTTTGTTCTCCAGTTTTTTTGTTTCTCAATTCAACATTCCTTTGCATTTAATCTGCTGTATGCATTTATAAAGGCTGAGAGAGATTTGAGCAGATCACTAATTAGGACTCATATGACCATATTGAACATTTTGTTGAGAGTAATGTGGGCCACTCTTCTTTGAGTCATGGTGCTCAGTCTTTTGTCACTTGAGACAGTTATTTTTAGGCGCTTTTTGAGTTTCCATCATGGCTATTGGTGCCGAGATTGAGTGTCAGGCATGACTATGTCATAGGACGAGCACAGGCTAAATATATGCACTGTTGCTATGAATGTTGGGGATGCTTTTTTGCAAATTGATCGTTTTATTGTCTCAACAACCCGTTCTCCTCGGAATGCTCCTGAAAAAGCATCTAAACATTTGCAGGTGAATAAGCTGAGATGAAATATTTGGCTTTTCCTTGAGCAATTTTCTGCTCCATTACCACAACTTGTCAACATTGCATACCTTGATTGTTTTTCCTGAAGCAGTCTTTCTAAGAAATGCGTGTGACATTTTCTTAGCTGCTTTACCTAGTATTTTATTTTCTGCTTTTTCACCAACACTCATAGGTTAGGAAATTGAGTATTTGTGAGACAGGGGTTAACCTTCATGGTCATTATTTTACAGAAACCTGACAGCAATGGGTGGAGGCTATACATGTACAGTGTTCACCACTGTCCCAAATCACAGGAAACACATGACTACCATTCCATTTAGGTGATGTTCTTCATCTGTTTGAGCAGCGCAGATACCAAGAAGGTTGGCTTGGAATATTTTGAATATCTCTGCATTATTTATGCTTTTTGGATGAAAGGTTGCAATAACTGTGCTGGGATCAGTCGAGCAGTATAACACATATTTCAAGTGTTTCATTAGTTATCTGAAAGAATAATCCTCCCAAAAAAAACAGCTCATTCAGTTGTTAATAATGTATAGTATACCACAGATCTAATTACAGTGAGAACTTGTTTGATATACTCATGTTTTTTTTATATATGTTTGTTCTGCCAGGCTGTCCGGTGACATCTTTTTTCAATATTAAGATGACCATAAAATATTTCACTTCATTATCTCATATAAACAGATCAGACGCCATTTTGTAGAGAAGCTTTTCTTTGATTTTAATATAATACCCAATGCAGTTATGTCTCATTGCCCCAATTCCAGCAACATCCATCCATTTATTATATATGCTTGCCCCAAGCAGGGTCATGCAGGAACCTATCCCAGCTGTCATTGGGTGGTCCATCACAGGACCACATGGAGATGTACGACACACTGTTTGTTCACACAAAAAGACCCCTGGGGGATGGAACCGTGAACCCTCGTGCTGTGCGAGGACAGCGCTCACCACTGTGCAGCTCCCAGGAAACACGTTAAAACGTTTAGAAAAGCATTGATCCATTCTAGGGTCATGTCAACCCAAGGGCCAAATATACAAGGTATTCATTGCAAAGAGTGAGTTTAAATATTGTTGTTTAATTTTTTACATGTGAATCAAATCACATGCAGAAAGCTGTATCGAGTTAATTTTTTTTTTTTTAAGTTTATCAAACTTACACATAATATATGTGTAAATTGATTCATTTTCCAAGAGTAAGTGTACAAATACTGGGGGATGATGCCATCCTGCTGATTTCTTTTGTCTGGCTATTTCCCTCGCGGTTCAACCTTAACAACACTTTTAGAGGCAAACACTTATTGGAAATCTCCTCCAAAGAAGGTGTCGTATTGATTTGTAGTCACCCCAGCATCCCTGCAATCAGCATCACCAGGCTGGGAATCCCCGCTGTGAATCACCAACAATTATAAAACAGCATCACATTGCAGAAATGCCTGTGTTTCGTATATTCATGTGTTTCTATTGGGCTGAAAATCAACTCCAAGCTTTGTTGTGGCACTTTCTCCTCACTCCCATCACAAGCAGATACATATTCATTCATGTAAAACTAGACACACCTCAACAGGAGCTAAATCACAAGGACACACTTGCCGGTACACTCTCACGAACAGTGGTCAGAAACTGTCTGCCCCCCACTGAAAGTCTGGAACAAGGCTTTTGTTATCTGTGATCAGAGCCCTGACAGCTGGCAGGGAGCAAAACACTTGCATAAAGAATGCAGTACAGTTCAGAGTCAGTGTTGCTATTTTGCAAAGATTCATGTTATTTCAGTTCTATTTTCTTATGAATGTGTAAATGATTTTAATGGAAACTCATCGAACTTTCTCTAAAATTTGTTTAATTTAGGGTCTCGAATAGGTCTTCATCGGCTCAAAGACATGAATAGCTGTCCCATCTATTTGAATCAGGTATGCTGGAACAGGGAAACTTGGAAAACATGAAAGGTACAGTGCCTTGATGACCGGGGGTGGGAAACTCTGGTGTAGGTATAGAAAATCAATTTCTCCATAACAGGCTATTTTTATCTGTCTTCAATACAGTGAGAGGATGGAACGGCATGTAGAAATGTATCTACCTCACAGCGTATTACAAAACATTATTCCTACTCCATCACCCTACAGTAACTCACATTAACACATTTTACAATTGTTGGATATGGTTTCCAAAAAGAAAATAGAGCTTGAAGGAAAAAACGAAGGATCGCTGGAGTTAGTCAGACATTAAATGGGTTGAAAGCTGCTAGATAAATCAGAATCTCCTCTGCCAGAAAATCAGATGTTTCTGCTCTGTCCATAACCAATCTGACAGAGAAGCTTTGCCTAACAGGAGCATGGGATTGGAGCTTTTAGACTAATCCCTCTGTCTTCAGAGTACAGTAAGCAATAACAACTGTGGGTCTTTGGGGGCAACGCCTTAGCTGTTGGAGCATCGTGTTTAACATGTGTGAGTCTGGAACACTTAAGATTATTTTCAACTGGTTGGTAGATTGTTTTTTGAATGTGTCTATAATACACACACATATATATATATGTTAGTTAGTTAGTTAGTTAGTTAGTTAGTTAGTTAGTTAGTTAGTT